ATCAACTTGCCGGCAGTTCTCAGTCCGTTCGAATATTCTTTTTCCCTTTCTGTTCTCGTTTTACGCGTTGCTTTAAGATTGATGTAATGGTCGAGCTGCACCGGTTCAACGTTTGATTTTCCTTTTGCAAGACGTCGAGGAGCAACCCGCCACCTGCGAAATTGATAGAAGAAATAACGGAGGGCCGGGAGTACGTGGCTGGCGACGCCGAACGGAAGAGGCTCGGGAAGCAAATTTTGGACGAGCGGAGGAGCGCAGAGGATCCGCCGGGTGGTTACGCTCTGGGAAGAGAACTGGCCCATTACGAGAAACTTGTCCTGGAGACGAGCAACGAGACCGAAATTACACCGCGATCTTGCGCGAACGAGCAGAAGAACGACGATAGTAAATTACATGTCCGATTCCGAATACGATCATGACGACAAGAAGCAATTCGTCGCGGCCCACGAAATATTTCGGCCGATGCGTTACGCGTTTCGTACTCTTTTTAGCCCGCTCGGGGGCTGGAGCTGACTGCTGATGTTCACTTCTTCTTTTTTTTCTCTCTTTACGATTTCAGCGAGCGGAGATGGGAAACTGCTCGCGAACGACGGGGTTTCCTGTAACACTTTCGGGACCGGGGATAATGAAACGCCGAAGGAAACGAGGGCCACCGACAGCGCGGACAATGAGACCATTTATAAAGATATTTTGGACGATTATCGAAGAAAAGGCGATCCCCATCCATTGAGCGGCCGACTGACCAGCATACGGGAGGACATGAAAGAGTTTTGCGCCGGTATGGACAAGTTCGTCGAGAATAATAAAATCGTGTTCGAGAACGGCGATGTCAAAGGATTCTGGGGCGAGGCGGACGTCAATTCGCGGAGCACCGCGGACCGGCACGAAGAAAAACGATCCTCCGCGCCGGTTAAGGGGAAGGATGAGTTCAGATGGTGGAGCACAAAGGAGAGGAAGCTGAAGATTGCGGAAATTATGAGAAAAAGGGAAGAGGAATCGGGGATCAGTGCCGAAGAGAAGAAAGGGGAACCAGAAGGTACATCAAGTGCCCGAAAAATTGAGATTATCGATGATGCACCGGAGAAAAATCTGAAAGATACGGTTTCTAGAGAGACTAAAGAGGGAAACGAGGGAGTTTATGATCTGTTGAACCTGAAGGAGTGTCCTAAAATTCTAGTGCACGACGTGAAATCGTATCATAATGACAAAGACGACGCGGCGCTCTGCGAACCCACGAAAACCGAATCGAAAGAAGAACCGTCTGTTGCAGCTTTTCAGTCTTTGTTCGATGAACTGGATTCTAGGGATCGGAGAAACGTGAAACGCGAGAAGTCGCACAGCTTTCACGAATTGTTCGTTATAGATGAATCCGAAGAGTCTGTCGAGGAGACGCGCGAAGGCAGTAATTTGAACAGGTGCGCCTCTTCAGCTTCGGTTTCTTTAGAGATCGTAAGATCAAAAAGTAATCGAGAATCGATTAAAAAGGAGCCTGTTCGAGTGAAAATTGCGGAAGCGACTAAGTTAACTAATTCAGATGAAGATGAATCGGACAATGAATCTGTGAAAACTGTGATCAACCTTTACGAAGGATCCGCCAAGTCCGATCAGAAACGAGAAACTACAAAGAATCCAGTGAACTTTTCAGACAGTAGCACGCTTGGATGTTTGCCCAAGCTTTCAGAAACTGTAAAACTACAGAAGAATGACCAGGGCTCTGGTAGACAAGCTTTAGATACACCAGTGACATCCCCGCAAGATGAAAAGTGGAGTCAAACTTCGAAAACGCGTAAAAGGCTGCACGACAATGAATGCATGGACCCAGCTAGCAAGAAATCGCATCTGATCGAGGAAGCGGATTCGGAAAAGGGTTCAACTGGTTGTAAAAGTAGCAACGATATAGCTGAAAGATGCAGACAACACGCGAAGAAAGAAGCAAAGAAGTTCATGCAAAAGGAATCCCCTCTGATCGACAGGTGCATAAAAGACTTGATCGCGAAAAGTAAAGTTGAAGACAATTGGAGATTTCGGAGTCGCGATCATGAAGAGTTTTTGACTTGCACAGCTATGGGTTTGTCTTCGTCGAACACTTCTACTTTCCGAGTTCCAGATAAGTCTCTCAAAGCAGACTCTGTGGAGGACCGACCTCAAGAAACAGCGTCCGTTTCCAATGTCTCTGGTAAATATAAAAGTATCTAGAAACCATAACGGATGATTTCTTTTATTCGAATTGTATGATTTCTATTATTTACGGGTAATTACTTTGCGCACAGATGTTCAGTCGATAGCTCAGCTTCTACAACAATCCAAAACCGTTGAAAGACACGGTAAATCGATGTCAAAGAACGAGGCGGATCTCTATAAAGACTTCTGCGAGCACTTGGACCGGCTGAACGATAAAAGGAAGCTGCTGATCGAGCCCGATTTCATGAAGAACTCTGTGATAGATCACGAGGAAAAGAAACACGACGCTCTATCGCCAAGGGAGACCAAACAGTCGAAGAAGAAACAAACAAAGCCATTGATCGAGGTGATTTCGCAGGAATCGACGAATGTACACGAGATTGAAGAACTTGAAGATGATCCTGAAGACTCTACGATGGATCCTGCGTTGAAAGAGAGAATACTGAAGTGCATAAGTACGCCGAAAAGCGAGCAGCAAATCGAAAAGGGGAGAAAATCGGCGGAGAAGTTGATGAAGATTTCTAGAGAAGCTATGGCTGCGGGGAAATCTCTTTTACAAGAGTCACCGAACAGTTGTAGAGTTAGTACTCTGCGTTTTTAGGTTGAATGCATTTCTTGTATCTTTTCTTTATTTATTTTTTTTTAAGAATGTTATAGTTTTATGTTAGGGATTCTTTGACATTTTGTTTTGAAATTCTCTTTGAAAATCTTATTTGAAGTTAATGCTTACCAGTTTCGCATGCCTCCAGTGAGATCATCAGTATTCGTTGGTGCTTTCAGCAACTCGACGACAGCAGAGTATTCTTCAGGAACTTGCTGAAAGAGGATGCTGAGGAGGAAACGAAGGAAATCAGTTCGGCCGATAAAAGGGACGTGGAAACTGAAAGAAAAGAAACAGAAGTTTTGCAAGATGAGAATACACAGATGGATGAGAAGCCAGTAGTACTTTCAGTCGAGGATATCGATAAACGAGAATACGGAGTTTTGGACAGGGAACAAGAGAACAGCGGACAAACGAGGAAAAGCTTAGAGATGCAGATTATTCAGAAAACTGAAAGCGCCTTGCTGAAAGTCAGTGACAGGAACGACCTAAAATTTAACGGTCCCTGTTTGTTGCAGTAAGAAACAATTCATGCGTACAATCGTCGTAGGTTGTGTAAGTTAAAATGCATCGAGCTCTCTATTTCTTTCTCTTGTATTGAAATAAATAATATTGCGTTTCGATACTTCGTCATTCACCGAAACTACCAGCGAGAAAGTCGGATCTTTCGTATGAAAAACAGCTACAAGCAAAAGTGCATCAGCGTCCAATGGAATTCCGTACCCGTGCTTCGCGAGGTTTAGCCGTTGACAATGTCTCCTTTGAAAAAAGAACTGTTTACTCTCGAAAAGCAAAGAAAAGAAAAAGAAGAAGCGTCTCTCGCGATAACGATCAACCGAAACGGCGGATGGCGCAAAGTAGACAGAGCCTTCTACTACGTACACTTTATTTTTTTCTTTTTTGTCCACACTCACATCAATTATATAATAATAATAACGATGATGGCGGTGATCCGGTGAACTGTAATTTAATAGTAAGAATAATTAATCCGTAATTATGTATAATGACGATATCGGTCTGCTTGCAAACGAAACAATAGTCACCGACGTTTCTTACGTTCGTCGTCGTTCCCGGGGACGCACGGCGGAATTCTCTCTGCCGGAGAGCGCTTCTGCCCGTGTCTCCCGCAAAAGCTTGGCGAAAAGCTCATTTATGACACTTTATACGTTTATATAGGATGACATCGGAACGAAATATCCCCTCTTCTGTCGCGTTCTCGCGTCGAACCGTTTTCTCCCCGGCTTATCTAGATTTTCTGCGTTTTATTCCCTGCTGTCGACGTCGTCCATTTTGTTTCCGTTCGACCATTTCCCTTTCCGTTCGTTCGACTCGTTTATACGCCACATACACTATTATACGATTTTTCATTCTGTTCGCGTGCACTTAAGAACTATACCTCACTGCTCTCTGGCTCACTGCAGGAAGTAAAGAAACGTACAGATACATGATACTCCACTGTCTCTATAATTATTACAATAATAGATTTATAAATGTCCCAATCGCCCGTTCCCATTCGTTCTTTCTTTCTCCTACTCTTTCTCTCTTGGTCAATCTCTCCCTCTCTCGCGCGCAATCAGGCAAAAATCGAACGTCCACACTCAGTCGTAGAATTCATCGTACAGCGTTCTTTTGCTCTCGCACACGCACGCATTCGGTTGCTCCCTAATTGTAAGTTATTTCCTGGACTTATACCGGGTGCCGGGGAAGTGGCGATCGGCGATCGGAATGATTAGAAAGGAAGGTGTTCGCGCGTGCACACGGCGCACCGTTTTCAGCGGTTCTTGATGAGAGGGACGATCTAAAATTTAGAGGATCGCCGATCGAAAGTTCGCCGAGCATCCCGCCGGTACACGTCTCTTTGGGCTTAATATCCTCACTTATTATCGTATTGTTATAGTGTCGGTTGCTGTTTACTTCTGTCGCGGTTAATTAATTTATGTAATGCATGACAGCCCTTAACACGTTTACGTTACAGAGAGAGTTACCTTAAACGTCTACGCTTTTTTTTTCTGTTAGTATTAAAGAGTTTCGTCGACTCGCTTGAAAAGAAAAGAACAGGAAAAAGGAAACATTTCGGGAAGCTCGTCGCTCAGAATTTTTCGATTTCTCCCATTTTCCCCCGGCCCGGGGGAGGATTATTCGGTTCTTCTCTAGCGATCCGGAAGCGCGACGGCGACTTCGCGGGCAAGAGGGACGAGAGATTCTTCTTCGTCGGTCCACGGGTGTCTCGTTGCGGTTCGGGTTAAAAATTCGATACGACGGATGGAAAACGCGCGAGAAAAAACGTCCCTCGAATTTGCAATCATGGGAAACGAGAGGAAACCAACGGAAAATTATCTTCTTTCAAGGGGTGGAGGGGGGAGAGAAAAATTACTCTCTTGCGATTAGTATCTTCGAACAGCCATCGTTCGAGCGCTTGTCAGTCTTCTTTATTCTAGTCCGAGAAAAATAACGCCGATCTCGTTGATTCTTCGCGTACTCTTGTTCCCTATTTTTAGACGAGCCTTCGCGCTCGTCGGTCCGCCTTTATTGTGCAAAGATAATGCAAGCGGCTCGTGCACTTTTCTGCCGGTCAAGTGCAACGGAGCTTCTCACGGTCCCCGTGAATGTTGCTCGTCTTTGTACTACGATCGTTACGTGTATCATATTTTTTTGTCGTTTTTCCGCTTCTTTTTGGCTTTGTTTAAGGAGGATTGTCATCGTGCGTTGGTGTTTTCGCGTCGCCGCGTGCGCAAGGTTCAACGAAATTATCCCGGAACGAATTATGTGGAAATGCGGTGATGCGGGGTAAATGCTCTCCAAAGATATGTCAACGATGTAGAATGTCGGATCGCGACGCGATGAAAACCGTGAGGATCGCGCACGTTCGCGAATCGAACGTCGATCGCTCGATCGAAGTGACAAGGTGATGACAAATAAGTAAATAATGTCGATCGTCGACGCGGAATCGTAATTCATCGGACATGATTGCAAATTCGATCTAGTATAGAAGCGAAATTATAATAGTGCCGCGATGAATGGTACAAACGATTCGAAAGTTCACCCTCGAATGCCGTAAGATTGATAAAAACAGAGGAGAATCTCAAAAATGTGAACGCGTCGTTCTCATTTTGCGATGCAACTAATTCGCATACGAAATTCGGATCATATTCACCGAATTCTCAATACTCCACGGACCTCCCTTTCCATCGTTCGCTAATTTCAAGCTCCCGAGCCCTGAAATCTCGGACGAAATCATCGTATAAAGTGTACTCGCCGCTGAGCGTCTACAAAAGATGTACGTTATCCATGAACAGTGTTAAAATCTTAAGATAAACAATGCAGAGACTATGTCGCAACAGTATCGATAGAAATGGATCTGACTAACAGGATGAGCGCGATGCGTGTGTCTCGGGCCGCTCTTCCATTCGACGACGATCCTTTTCCTTCGTCGACTTCATCATTTCCTAGGGAAAGAACCATCGAATCCCGTCTCAACGAAGCGTCATCGATTTCAGCAATACAAATTCCAGGACTCTTCGTTCCCCGTCGAAAAGTCGTCCAGTTCCGAGGCTGCCGGAACAATTATTTATCGTTCGTCGTCGAAGCAGTGCTCCCCAATTGCTCGAGTTCCCCGGAGATCCCGCGGCCAATTCCTTGAACGTTTCGTGCGTGTGTTACAGGCTCCCTGGTTACATGTGCGCGTGGTGCAACGCGTCGTTCCAATCGATAGGATGCACAATGTGTGTCGGCGTATGCGTTTTTCGTGGCGATCAGAGGCGGGCTCGATGCGTTCGCGTGTATCGACGCGGCAACGAAGACGGGAGAAAAAACAGCGGGGAAAGAAAAAGGAAAAGAGGGTGGCGAACGCAAAGAAGAATAGAGTCTTCGGTGACTTTTTTCCCTCAGCCTCGCATGAAGATCAGCATGTCCGCGGTCGGTCGGTCGCTCCCGTTTGGTCGAATCGCGTTCAATCTGTACGCACAGTCCGAACGTAACTAGGACAAGGCGATGCCTAAGCACACGAGAAACATCCATCAGGATATTGATCCTTGTCTACGATTTCTCCGAACAACGCTGAGTTCTTCGCTAATTCTTCATTAGTTGCTTGACGGTTTTACGCTCGATCCCGAAGGACTCGCGAGGAGTCGTGTTTTTCTTCGTTTCCCGCTGCAGAAGATCTTTTCCACGTCCTTCGTCCATCGTCCTCGGAGTTCGGAGCGCTCGTTTCGTTGCTCCCAAGGTGATTCTTCGTTCCGAAACCCTTGGAAAACGATTCTTTCCTGCGACGCACCTTCCACGAATGAGGATAACGATACGACGGCACCCACGAGGCTCGAAAACGCGTCACAACGTTAAGGATCACTCTCGTCGAAAGTCCATGGTACGTCCTGCAAGGACGTATCTTCCTTGAGGAGAACACGGACTACAATGATCTACGTGTTCACAAGGATAATAAAAACGCGAGAATTGCTGACTTCGTGTCCCCCGTAAGCAACGTCCACGAAGAATCACACTCGAATGGCCTAGTCTAACCGTCGACAATAATTTATCATTATTATTGTTGTTATTATCGTTGTATGTCTATGTATACGCGTGCATGGTGTTACAATGTTACACACGCGTATACACGCACATACGCGTACATACTTTTTATATATAAAAAAGTGATGAAATCCTTGTTAGCTATCTATCGTTTAACAATGAAAACGTATTTCTTTTGTTGTCTTTTGTTAGTTTTCGAAGGGAACGTACACTTCCTCCACCGTCCTCTATTCTTGGCATTCAGTCTCGACTTTAATCGTACTCTCGTGTCGTTTGGCCACGAACTTGACGTTTCCTTACAACAACACTGCATAAATGTCTCTCTCTCATCTTTTATATATGTATATATATAATATATATAATACATGTACCATATGTATATTATGTATATCGTACTTTGTATTCGCTCGTTAACTTGAAAGAGGCAGTATTCCTTGATGGCTCGTCGTCGTCCATCGCAAAAAGGAAGTCACCGAAAAAATGACTCGCGCCGGCACGTCTTTCCTTATCCTTCCTTTCTTCGTCTCTTCTGTGTCGAAATGGATTTTCCGCATTGAAATAGGACCCAAAAGAACTCAACCTCCCCTCTTGAATCTATCAAATCAAGATCAGTAAACCAAAGATATATTAAAGAAAAGAAAAGAAGAAAAAAAAGAAATGAAAAAAAAAAGAAAGAAACGAAATGACTGACACGATGACGACGTTGGGGATGGTGGCAACGAAAATCGAGCGAATGACGGTCAAAAAAATAACTGAAACGCCACGTGTCATTTTTTCCAAGTACTTTTATTCACCTTTATACTCTTACGATTTCCAAAAAAAATGGCTGATTCCTTTTCTTGCTTTCACGCCGTTGTTTTCTGTCGGCCGCTGATGCGTCACAATGGATTCGATTACTAAACGTGTTCCCATGCACTCGAAAAATTAAATGTTTTTCGTGTATATATAAATATATATATGTATATATTTATATATATTATATAGATATAAAAACAGAAAAAAACAGTTCCTTGTATACTTGTCCGCGGACAAGAAAAACGTGTCGGAAGAAAACCGAAAACAAAGTCGAAAGAAATAAAAGAGAACGACAAAGTGTTTGTATGCGTGTGTGTGTGTGTATCTGTGTGTTGTTCTGCTCACAAACTTTAGCGTCTTCTTCGGTTGTTATCTCTTTTTTTTGTGTTTTTTTCTCTCTCTTGCATTCTCTTGCGCTATGACTAGAGACATAATAAATCGTTAATTTTGCATGCTATTCGACGACAGTTATATATATGTATATTTTGTATTCGTATAAAGAATAAGAAACCATATTGCTTCTGTGGCTCGAGGCTTCGAAATACAAAAATGAGAAGCCTCCACCGAGAGGCCACGGAATCGCGAAATACAAAAAGCACAGATCTTTTGTTTCCATTTATTATTATTATTATTATTATTATTAATCATTTTTTTTCACTTTTTTTTCTCTCTACTGCCCTTCTTCCTTCGCCTCGAACATGATGAAAAGAAAAGTGAACGCGTGAACGCGTTCCTTTCGTCCCCGTCTCGAAAACGGATTTCGAGACCGGTGACACGGCGGTACTCGAAATCGAAGGAAGAAGGTTCTCCATTTTTTCCGGTTTGGCGCGGAGAAAAGATCGTTTTCGTTTTTCTCTCTTTTTTCCCTTTTCGTTTGCCTAATTGGTCGCTAGAAGATATGGAGGCGTGTGACGTAAAGCGAGATTAGTCGAAAAAGAGTTATATCAAAAAACCGATTATAAACGTTACTGTCCAAGAAAAAGTGAAGATTTTCCCGTTTCTCCTCGTCTCCGTAACACGACGCAGAAGTAAACGCCATTAGAAACTCCTCAGAGATCTACTTGGTTCTCCCCATAAACAGTTCATTTTAGTCAGATTACGTGACTGCCCCGAATTAGGAAAACAATTGCTGCTCGTTCGCGTTCCGGAAGCCACGCTTCTTCGCTTTCTCCCCGCGCTACCTCTCTCCTGCCAATGACGCCAAACAGAAACTGATATCAACAGGTCGGGAACACCGATCTCTACCCGAAGCACAGGCTAAAACGGTCGTACAAAATAGAAGGAAGGAGAAAATAAACAAGAAGAAAAAAAAAGAAACATATGTATACGACGAAGTGAGTATCACTTCGCGACTACACAGTAAACGCGGAACATACAATGGAATAAAATGTAACGACGAAAGATCGACGCGCTAACTCCCGAGGGGTCGAAGAGACGAATAAAAAGACACAGTATATGGCAGCGTGGTCGCCGGAAAGCGATTGGACCGTAATCCTGCGGTACTGAACAAGTGGATCCATCGTTATCTCCTTAGATACTTATATATTAAATATTAATAATTATAAATTACAATCATCGTTAATATTAATATTAAACAGTATCATTAATATTATTACTTTAAATGCATACACAGTTTAAACACCTATTTTTTTTCCGACAAAAAGAGGACAGAGGGGGGATGAGAGACAGAAGGGAAGGGTGAAAAGACAGGTGAATGGAAAGTCGAT